TGTGGATTTTGCTCTTGGTGATTGGCCTAAACTGATGTTATGATTCCTGTTCGTGCATGGACATATATCTCCAAATCTTTTTCTTGATTTCAGTTCTGGGTCAACTATTTTTTATTCTATTCACTGCTCTTTACTTTTATGTTTATTGTTTGTCATGCATACGGCCTCACAACTAATATAATAGGACTGCGTTATCAAAACAAATAATCTTTTATGATTTAGCTGCTGACTGTGCCTAGTCAATGAGGGTCGACGAACTTTTTATCTGTAACATCTGTGTTTTGAATTATGTGAAGGATTCAGTCAATGTTCGAGCAGCTTATTTCACGATTCTAATTTAAATTAGCGAACTTTCAGAAGCATTGATTATAAAGAAATTTCCCCTTAGACCATTTTTTGACTTTCTGTTTCTCTGCACAGCTTGTTTATCAATTATTCAAGACAAATGTGACACCAAGAGAGGAGGATGTCAAAATTGTTATGCAAATGGCAGAAGAAGCTGTGCGTGCTCAGGAGAGGGATCCTTATACTGCATTTGCGAACCGTGTGAAGGAGCTTAATTATGGAAACTCCTATTTTTTTAGGGTATGCTCGTTACCCTGCTTTTAAAAAAATTTATTATTTTTTCTATAGTATTATCTTTTTGAATTTTTATTTCTTATTCTCCAGCCAATTAGGTTAAGTGACCTTCAAAAAGTTGATCCACAAAAGGCCTGTGAATATTTCAACAACTGCTTCAGAGATCCATCCAACTTTACTGTTGTAGTTGTGGGGAATATTAATCCTTCTATAGCACTTCCTTTAATACAGCAGTATCTGGTATGTGTAGCCTTATATTCTTCCTGCTTACACGCAGCAACCTTTGTCGTTCAGGTTAAGTAAGGTTTTGATTTCTTTAATCAGGGTGGAATACCAAAGCCTCCTGAGCCTATTATGAACTTCAATCGTGATGACCTAAAAGGCTTGCCATTCACTTTTCCTACAAGAATAGTTCGGTATAGTGCACTGACCTTGTATTCAAACACATTGATTATAGGAAAAAGAAAAACATGTTCACCAAATATGATATAATTAATCAGTGGGGAGGGAAAGTAGTCAAAACAAAACTAAAAGAACAATGTTTTGTCTTTTGTTTTCCATTCGATGCCTCTTTTTTTCTTTCTTTTTTCTTTTTCTCATATGCTGTTAGTTAAGGTCTTACATAAAAGTCGTAACAGCCTAAGCCCACCGCTGGCATGTCCTTTTTGGCCTTTCCCTTTTGGGTTTCCTCTCAAGGTTTTTAAAGCGCGTTTGCTGGGGAGAGATTTTCACACCCTTATAAAGAACGTTTCGTTCTCCTCCCCAACCGATGGGGATCTGGCAGAAGTCGTCTAGAGTGAATTTCCATGTGTTTTTGGTTCATAAATTTATTACATTCTTGTGGGATTTCCCTTTCTTTAAGCACGTTTAATGTTCATGCATTGTAGAGAAGTGGTATATAGCCCGATGGTTGAAGCCCAGTGTTCAGTACAACTATGCTTTCCTGTGGAGCTCACAAATGGAACTATGGTATTTCCTTCCATTTTATTGTCGAGGAAGGGTAGATTGTAAATAAAGTGTCCTGTTTATTACTTTTTCCCCCCAATGGTTCATAATGTGTTTTGTTCAAAACAAATTGCAGGTTGAGGAAATTCATTTCGTAGGGTTTTTGAGCAAATTGCTTGAGACAAGAATGATGCAAGTTCTGCGTTTCAAGCATGGACAGGTATCTATATATTTTGTAGGTTTTCTGAGTATTTGTTTTATTTTATTCTTTTGCTTAATTCGCGGATTACTTATCTGTTTCAGATCTATTCTGCTGAGGTTTCAGTATTTCTTGGAGGCAACAAACCTTCAAGAATTGGTCCTGTTCGTGGTGATATCAGCATAAAATTTTCTTGTGATCCGGAAATCTCATCGAAGCTGGTTTATACATTATCACAATCAACCTTCTTTTACTTTGTTTTCATTAGCAAATTTAGCTGACAAATTTTTGTGATCCTGAAATTTTTAAAAGGTTGATCTTGCTTTGAATGAAATACTACGTCTTCAAGAAGAAGGGCCTACAGATCAAGATGTTTCGTCAATCCTAGAGATTGAGCAGAGGGCTCATGAAAATGGACTGCAGGTTAGTTTTCGTTTATGAAAATTTATTATTACTTCATGAAGGATTTAGTAGAAATAGCATTCCACTTGTTTTCCTATCTTTAGCAGCAGCAGCAGCTCTTTTAGCCTTGGTTGATGATCGCTTGGCTTGACTTGTCCAATGAATTGCAGTCTCTGAATCACTCTCTCTTTTCCCATTTCTTTTTCTCTCCACCTTCCACTCTCCTCTATTTGGTATGGATAAGGGAAAGGAAATACTCGAAAGAGTTTCGTCTTCAAATTAAAAAAAAATAGGTCTACTTGAACATGCTTCAAGGTGTTATTTTCATTTACCCTTACTTGGCACGACTGTAGTTTGAAAGCTTATGATCCATTATGATGTCAACTTCCAGAAAGAAAAGAAGTTGGTTTTCAGTTGTTCCTAGTTTATATCGTGGCAGTATGCTTAGACGAGAGGAATTTTATGGATTTTTGGTGTTCATTTGCAGGAGAATTATTACTGGCTGGACAGGATTCTATGCAGCTACCAGTCAAGGATATACTCTGGTGATGTTGGAACTACTTTTGAGGTTAGTGGCATTTAGTGAGTTTTTCTATCCATTTTTTTCTCTGTCGATACTTCAAGTTGTTTAAAATATCTATGAAATGTGGCTTTCACCACTTGTGATGCATTATTTATCAATTGAGTTCTTACTCAATTAAGCATGTATTAGCTCAAGCCTACCCGCTAGCAGATATTGTCCTCTTTTAGCTTTTCCTTTTGGACTTTCCCTCAAGGTTTTTAAACGCGACTGCTAGGAAGAGGTTTCCATACCCTTATAAAAAGTGTTTCGTTCTCCTCCCCAACCGTTCCTTCGGGGCCCAGCGTCCTTGCTTGCACTGGTTCCCTTCTCCAATCAATGTGGGAGCCCCTAATCCACCCCACTCCCTTCGGAGCGCAACATCCTTGCTGGCACACTGCCTCATGTCCACCTCCATTCGGGGCTCAGCCTCCTCGCTGGCACATCGCCCGGTGTTTGGCTCTGATACCATTTGTAACATCTCAAGTCCACGCTAGCAGATATTGTCCTCTTTGGGATTTTCCTTTCAAGCTTCCCTTCAAAGTTCTTAACTTTAAAAACGTATCTGGTAGGGAGAGGTTTTCTCACTCTGATTAGAATGTTTCATTCTCTTCTCCAATCGACGTGAGATTTCGCAGTTTACTTATCCAGTTGTTTGAAATATACATGAATATATTTGTCTATCTTAAAATAAATTGTGTAGTTTCATTGGGCAATGCTTTGGAATGGTAACCGTAAAGATAAAATGAACTCTTGACATTCTCCAAAGAGAGATAAATTGATATACCACCTGTTGTCATAAATTCTTTTGTAAATTGGTCTGGTTTTGAAGCAGATCCAGGATGAGGGACGTTTGAATGTCAGAAATTCCTTGACACCATTGACAGCACAACTGGCACTACAGAGAATACTGCCATTTCCTTGCACAAAACAGTACACTGCAGTGATTCTATTACCAAGTTCATATCGCTTCAAGAAACTGAAATCATTCTTCCGACTTGGTCTATCATCTCCTGCCACAGACGCAAAGGTTAGTTTCATACCGGTTCTCCAGTCACTTGCTGCACTCCACAAAGTCATAATAATGCATGCAATTTCTTATTTGAATTTTAAGAACACCCCTTAGAAAACAACTCGGGTTTCACTATTCTTTCACTCGGTAAAGCAGCTTCCCTATACAAAGAAGAAAACAAAAAACGAAATGGGTATCCAACGGGTTGAACTTTTTGATTCCTTGATCTTGTGGGCAACTATACTGCATAGAAAAGTTTGGACCTCCCTTTTAAGGGCCATTCATTCATTCATTCATTCATTCTTTCTGTTTTGTGTTGATATTTGTGCAATTCCTTTGGTTTGGAAAGATTTACATCATATATGTGGGTGTGTTTGTTTGGGTGAGCAGATCTTAGTGGGCGTTGCGGGTCTAGCAGTTTTGACATTTAGCCTGTGGAGATATTGGAGAAGTAACCAAAAATGATGAAAGTGTATGCGCTTCCGGTTGGTTGCTGTTGTATTAACTTAAATTCTGGCGTACATACTGTGATGATGAATTGCTGAGAATGAGGCATCAATCAACGGAGCTTTCCAAATGGAGGGTTCCAGCTTTCCTTTCTCCACCGACTTACAAGCAAAAGTTATCATTGTGTAGATTGATTAAAGAAAGAGGCAGTCATAATAATAATGAGCTGTGTGTGTATCATTTCATTTGCTTATTCTTCATTTCCTTCCTCTATAACCCTACACTTTCACTGCACCCCTTAAAATGGTTCCGAGTGCCTGGCTTTATTGTCCTTCAAACTTTTCACTTTTTGGTCGAGAGCACTCGTTTTAACTCCGACGATGAGTTGTGATATTCTCTATTAATTTTGCTCCATTTATTTTTTCGATGATACGTGGAATTAAGTAGTGAAAATGGGTTTATTTTTTTAAGAAAATGGAGTTGATTCGTGACAAGTTTGGTGAAATTGTGGGGACTTGTTCTTGCTATATATGTCTCGAGTGTTCTTTGTTGTACATAAGAATCAGGTAGAAAACTTTAGTATATCTAAATTACAATTAAACTTCTAATTCACATAAATTTGAATACCACTTCAAAATCAAACTAATTTTTTTCCAACTAACTAATAATAAATAACCCAAATTTACCGACAAAATATTAACATTCAAAGTTTATAAAAAAAATATATGGTTTAATATGCTAAAATGGAGTTTTATTTTATTTATTTTCCTTTTTTAAAAAATAGCCCATTTATTATATTCATCGGTCCATTTATAGGCCCAAACTTGACAAAGTCTGTGACACAATAAGCCCGCAATAATTTAAACCCTTATATAAATTCAGCATTAGGGTTTTTTGGTGCCCCTGAAGACCATCTCTTTCACTGGAGGCCACTCTTCGCGTTGCCGAACGCCAGGTCTCTACTCTTGAACTCTGAACATGTCTTCTCAATTATTAGTTCAATACTTCGTTTTCGCTTGTCTTGAAACTTCGTAAACCGGTAAATCATGATCTGTTTTGGTTTTGATTACCTTTTTGCTTTTTATGCGATCGGCTTGCCCGCTTCCGGTCGTTTCTAATCTGTGAAGCATATGAATCGTGTTGATATATATTCGGCATTTCTGCATTTGAGAATCTAGAACTCGTAGAAATTTTGTCTGCTTATCTTCAAAAGGCTTTCTGTGTACAGGTATTTTTGAAGAGATTTAAAAATGGTAGAGAAGACCAAAGGAAGAAAGGAGGAGGTAGTCTCCAGAGAGTACACTATTAACCTTCACAAGCGCCTTCATGGCTGGTACGTTCTTTTTATCTGCCTCTCATATGTATTTGTCCTTTTTAATGTTAGGTTTGTATATTCTAGCTGATTATGTACTTTATGTGGGAGGAGTAACCTCGATTTAGTAGTCTTTGCGTCATAAATTCATCAGATTTTTGTACTTTACTTGGAAGTGTGTGCCATGAGTTTACTATTGCTTCCTTTTTCCTAGGACTATAGATTGGTATTACTAGATTTTAGTTCATACTGTCTATTGTACTCTGAATTGGACATACAACTTGACAGTTTGAGGTTTGGGATTTCGGATTTGTTGCTAATTGAAGTTATAGTTGTTGTAGGGCTATAATATTACTTTTGTCTATAAATAGCCAGAATAAGCATATCTCCCCACTACTTTAGCATGTTTTGTTCTATCGTCTGGATATGAGATGAATTAGAGCCTTTGGACGGAACCAATCCAGGGTTGTTGATACTCTGTTATGAAGAGTTAGAAGCGTTAGAAGCGTCAGCTGGTCCATTCCATGCTTTGTATGAATAGTGTCCCCTGGAGCCCGTGATGCACAAGTATTTTAACCATTTTCGTTTATTATCTAGTAGGTTACTTTCATTACCATATATAGGCTTTGATACACATACAGTGCTACTCATTAACCTGTACTGTTTATCTATATCCTAAACTATTATTAACATAACCTCCCTAATGTCCATCTCTATCTGGAAATAATGTATAACCGCAGGATCTGTTTGCTACTCATTAACCTGTACTGTTTGTGAATGAACAGCACCTTTAAGAAGAAGGCTCCTAAGGCCATCAAGGAGATCAGGAAGTTTGCTGAGAAGGCCATGGGTACAAAGGATGTGAGAGTGGATGTTAAGCTGAACAAGCATATCTGGAGCAGGGGAATCAGGAGTGTGCCCAGAAGAATTAGAGTTCGCATTGCTCGCAAGAGAAACGATGATGAAGATGCCAAGGAAGAGTTGTACTCCCTCGTAACAGTTGCAGAAATCCCCGCAGAAGGACTGAAGGGACTCGGGACTAAGGTCATTGAAGAAGATGATTGATTCGTCAACTGTTTTCTCGAAGAGGTGGTAAGATGAGATTAGGTTGTAGGTTTGATTTGTTGAATGAAAGAAGACTCATATTTTAATTGTTGTCTTTGGAGATCTTTTTTGAATTAACTTATAATTCCTGGACTTGTTCAGTATTAAGTTCAATTGTTTTTGGGTTACATTAACCGAGGCTTTTTGAATTAGCAAATCATATCCATGTTTTATAATTCAATCTAAATACCGTTTTATGTTTGTTTGGTAAATCATAATCTTCCCTAGGAGCATTCAAGCCTTCAGCCACATCAGGATATTATCTTAATCTTTCCCGCGGTCTAACTCGGAGTTGTTTTAGTTAATTAATATTATAGGGAGTTGTTTAGTCAATGTTTTGCTTAGCAGGTTTGAGTTTTTGTTGCAATTAGAATTATATTGCACTATTTTAAAAAATTCTTGATTATTAACGTAAACTTGTTCTGGATTTATTAAGTTATATTATTTTATCAATGTTGTAGATTTCAAACCATTTGTAAACATAGAATCCTTGCCGAAGTTGGTCACAACGTCTCAAAGTTCAAATTGTAAGGTCAAAGAAATACACAAATTGAAAGTTGTAACATACATAAACGAACTAAGTTTGATCTCTAAAGACATTGAAGAAAAGTGAGGTTCAAATCTTTGTCTCCGAGTTTTAAACTAAAAAAAAATAACCAACTATATTTTTTTTTTAAGTAGGCAAAGAAATTTAGAAGGTTTGTTTAGGGAAAAAATCGTGAGAATTTTTTCGAATTAAAATAAATGTTTAGACAAAGATATAATAATTACATGTAATTTAACGAGAAACAATAAAGACAACAAATTTTCGCGCTGAAAAAATAATATTGCTAAAAATAGTTTTTATTTGGGTTAGAAAAACTTTGGACCGATATATAAGTGAAATTAAATATGGGCTGGGCCGGCTGGATCAAATTTTCGCGCGTCACCCAACCCACTACTATATATATGTTTGTCCATTCACCTAAACCTAATTTTTGCAAGTTGCGTTGTTAGTTTCTAGCGTTCGAAGCGAGCACGCCTGTCGCCGAACATCCGGAAGAGGGGAAGACGCTTTCAGATTAGCCATGGGTGAGGATCGAGCTCTTATAGACTCATTTTGCATTTTATGTTCGTCTGTTTGATGATCCTCATTAATTCGTTTCTTCATCTCTGTAATCGACATTCAGGTAAGGTTCACGGATCTTTGGCTCGTGCCGGTAAGGTGAGAGGCCAGACTCCGAAGGTTGCCAAACAGGACAAGAAGAAGAAGCCACGAGGACGTGCTCACAAACGGATGCAATACAATCGTCGATTTGTCACTGCCGGTAAACATTTATTTCTTCTCCCTCTCTCTCTCTCTCTCTTTGATATTGTAATCGCGTTCGAACTTTTATCCTTTTCTCGTTTTTTTATGAGTTTAAATTTCCTCTTGCAGTCGTTGGCTTCGGCAAGAAGAGAGGACCTAACTCGTCAGAGAAGTAAGAGTCTCGATAATTCGGCATAACAGCCATTCTTTCATGTTATTTAATATTTCTGTTAGTTCTTCCTTGATGTGTTCACTCTGGCATTAATCTGGACAATGATAGCATTCGTTCTTTTAGAAGGTTTTTGTTTAGTCACTACATGTATCTTTTACGTCTAAGTTTTGACGTTTCGCAATGAGATAAGTTTGTTAAGTTTTTGTTAATGGACATTGGCAAGGGATAATACTGTCGGAGTCGCGTGTTTGAATTTGGTTAGTGAATCAGTTAGAATTGATCAATTTCTCGCAAGTAGGAGATCGAGCGTAGAGTCTCTGTATTTCTAGATCTTGCAACTGTTTTATTCTTTAGATTTGGAATTAGACTCTGGTCTTGTCAATTCCAACCACCTTCTCCCTGTGAAGTGTTCTGAGAAATGACAAGGTGTTTAGGTAACTGAGTTAGAAATTGAAGATGACAGTGAGTAAGGCGGATTCTGGACAACATGATGACAATCTCGTCATTGTTAGGAACTCATTCAACATCTTCCTATGTTTTGAATTCATTTTAAACTAGTTCCTTCGTCATTTTAAATTAATTCCTTCTTCATTTTAAACTAATTCCTCCAGTCATTTTAAACTAATTCCTCCAGTCATTTTAAACTAATTCCTCCAGTCATTTTAAACTAATTCCTCCAGTCATTTTAAACTAATTCCTCCAGTCATTTTAAACTAATTCCTCCAGTCATTTTAAACTAATTCCTCCAGTCATTTTAAACTAATTCCTCCAGTCATTTTAAACTAATTCCTCCAGTCATTTTAAACTAATTCCTCTAGTCATTTTAAACTAATTCCTCCAGTCATTTCCTAGTTGTAGTGGTAGTAGTATTAGTAGCGGGACTTGAGTATTGCTATCATAGGCTTTGTTAGTTATTGTAGACATTCATTACGATGCAAAACCATAGATCAGTCTTGTTTGTATTCTCATTATTCTCGTCCATCTTGTCCATGTAAATTACACATTCAAGAACGTTGATCTTGAATGTAGTTGATGTCCTTGTATTTATTGGAAATTTGAATTTCAAAAGCTCTCGTCTCCGAAAATGTTGAGTACCGATTTAGTTGTTTGGGAATGATGATAGTGTTTCTAAGTCAATCTTCAACCACCTTCCTCCCTCTCATTAGCTGAGACAGCCAATTAGTTTTTTGAGATAGTGAAAAGTGTTCGAAAAGTTATAGTGAACATGGGAAGTTAAAGAGGCTAGATATGTTTCTAGTATTCCTTTAATATTTTCTCCGAAATAATTTTCTGTTAATTTTTTTTATACAGATTATTTTTTAATTTCCCTTTATGATTTAGTAGTTCGATATAGCAATGATAGATTTGTTTGGCTGGAGGTCAATTCTTAAACCGTCATTTAGTATGATTTGAGACTGTAATTTAAGTCCCAGCCAGGATGGAAGATGCTTTAACCTATTTACCAAGTGAAAGAAAGAAAAGTGAAGGTAACGGAATTGGGAAACAGTGTTGGAGAAGCGACTGTTTTATTTACTGAGTGAAAGAAGGAAAAGTGAATGCCATGGAATTGTGAAATAGTGTTGGAGAAGTGAATGAGCTTCTCTTTCTCTCATTTCTTTCCTTCCCTCTTTTTCTGATAATTTAGAATTGTGAAGGAGGGAAGTTCAGTCTCATCCATTTTTTATAAGGGTAAAGGAGTGGAAGGATTTACTAAATGGTAGGTCTTAAATGACCTCCAACCATACAAATCTATACTTATTTTTTTCTTTTATTCTTTCATCTCTACTTTCAAATTATGTCTACGATATTATATTAGGATTTCTATTTGGATTCATTTCGATTTAACTTGTTTTGTTTGTGTCTAAAGTCTGCGACATTTTATTCTTTAGGTTTTAATTCATTCCTTGTTATTAATATTCTTTCTTGCTATATAGATTTTTTAAAATATCAAATTTTTAAACATTTACTAGAAATTGTATTGAGACTTACAAATTGTTTAAACGAATTTTCAAATGTGAAATTTGTATGATTTCTAAATTTGTATGATTTCTTTTCATGTTCGAAGCTCACTATAAACTAAAAAAAGCTGTTACTTTTTCGTATGTTAAATATATCTTCTGTTGAGTTGCAGTACTATTTGTGAATTATTCCATCTAGTATTTATATTTGTAAAATTTGAATTGAAGCTTTATTAGGCCGAATTTAAATTTATGACTGATGAATTGATTGTGAACATTAAAGTTCAAAATTTTTTACATTTCAAAATCCTGAATATGATAAATCAGGAACAAAAACTCACACTTAATTTTAGATCATATTTATTAGTAGTAGTCTTCCTAAACCAAGAAAATATGAATAAAATTATGAAACTATGAATAAATTACTCTGAAGTTTGTACCTAAACTTCCCTAGGCGCACGAAATTAAATTTTAAATGACCACAATGTTTGCATTCACTGCAAAATAGAGTATAGATAAATAAAAGATTTAAAGGATGATTACAGTTATTTCGCGTTCTTTATATACAACTTCACCCGGCAGGGAAGAATAGCTCGTATGCAATTTTGAACGAACGGCCATCGTAAGCTTCTTTGTATGGCACAATCTGCCAGGAGATCACACCGATTCAATTGCAAGATAACAGTAGTGCATAAACTCCATTGACATCTTTCAAATAAAATATAAAACGTTGAAAGAACAAGACCTGATTAGAGGGCCATCTCCGCTTGCAGAGCTGTGAGTTCGTCTTCTTCAGCAGTTCTCTTCTGAGGAACAGGGCGTGCAGGTACCCGGCCTGACGGGATGGAAACGGGCGCAGCAGGAGTTGTTGACGCCGGTTGGAGAAGTTGCTCTTCCAACTCCGCACTTTCCAGCTCTTCAAGTTCCGCCTCCAATTCATCCTGAATGGCAACCATAATCACTAGATGAGATACTTACTAGATATAAGCTATTAATAATAGGAAAGAGTAAAAGATTAACAACCTCGTCGAAGTCAGCTGCAGCACCAATTGGAGTTGATAGCGCTTCCTGTATCTGTTTCATATTCTCCGTCTGCTCATTAATATCATCCATCGTCTTGTCCACATCATCAATATTTCTGAAGAAGTTCCGAATAATTAAGCTACTTACTATATAAACTAACGCTCTAACTTCTCACTAAAACATGAAGAAAAATTTCACAAACCATTCAAATTTCAGGCCGTTAAAATATATTTAAATGAACAAAATTTGATCGCATTTTCTCCAGACTGCTAGCTTAACTAGATGAATGAAGTGATGAAATAAGTTCAGATATATTGTACAATTTTCAGACAATAATAATAATATGGTTAAAAGACGTGCTAAGGTGTACTATATAACATAGACTGATTTATTTTTTTATAGATAATGAATGACCCAGCAAGACCAAAATTCTGAAAGATTATAAACCACAAAGGCAAATAAAAGTAGGCATACGTTGCTTTCTGCATTGCCTTCATAGCAGATGCTCCTGTTCTCAAAGCATCGACAGTTTCCGTCGTAGCTTTAGCGCCTTCTAACATAATCATCTGCAAGAGTAAGAATAGGTTTTGAGTAAAAGCTTCATCAGCTCATGAAAGTAAAAGAAATAGACGTCTCATCAATCAGTAAATAACGACTACAGCACACCTGATCGTGGATACGCAATTGAAAATTTCCAAGCTGCTCTACTTGCTGTTCGTAGAGTCTCTTTCTCTTCAAACATTGTATGGCCGCTGCAAACAAAATATAATGATTGTGAATGGAATCTGAAAAACATTAAGTCCTTATGGCTCTATTAACTCAAGAATAGCTGTATTCAGACTACCACGGGACAATTGTCATGTAATCAAAATTGATTATATACATGAAAAGAGTAATATCAACATTTTCAAATCACAATGCCTTCTACTTATTTGAAAAAAAAAAAAATGCAGTGTATTCTCTAACCCACAAAAAACCTTTCATGAGATTTATTTCCCTAACAAGCGAGAAGCTGCTTCGTAGAATTCATTGAGAACAAGATTCTTCTTCTAATAATAAAAAATAACTAAAATGAACAAAAAAAAGTACTTGAAAAACAGCATTAAAAGTTCGTGCAGACTATTACATTGCAGTAAACTGATATAAGCATAACTTGCATTTCAAAAATTTTTACGGATTAAAAAACTTCGAAACGTGAGAAAACCAGGTATGGTGCGACATCAAATTTACACCTCAGAGTCGACAACGTAGGTATTAATTAAATCTTAATCACGCTCCACACATTTAAAAAATCAAAGGAAATTGAAATCAATATCGTCATAGATGAGATCACTCAATTTCAGGCCATACCTCGTTTATTCTTCACTCTTGTGAACTCTTTAGCTTTTTCAACCTCTGCAGATGCCTTCTTTACAAGAACGTTCTCTTTCTTCTCCAGCATTTCAAGCGTCTAAACAGATCATTACAGACAGTGAAAAAAAAGTGCCCAAAAACATTGGTACCAATTATGAAAAGCTTTGTTAGACTAAAAAGGTCTGTGCGATCACGATTACCATCACCTTGGACATGATTTCAACTATCCACTCCAATATAATCGCATAGAAGAATAGCACAGAAATGTAGTACACAGTTTTCAGTTCTTACATCTGTGAAACCTCACCTAGTGTACCGCGATTACAAGTAGCAGAACAAATGTATAATTACATGTTAACCTAATTCAAATAAGACGATGATTTCTCAACCGGAACCACCACTTGACAAAGTAAAATGAAGAACCAAATAAACACTAATACTCGGTCAAGGAGAAGTGAGAACTAATTATCGCGGCGTCAGAAACACTAATACTCCGTCAAGGAGGACCAATTACAAAGTCGTCATAAACAATAATATTTGGACGAGGTGAATGAGAGAAGTCAAATATCAATCAAGATTGAAAGAAATAGAGCTAGAGTTCAGAACAATCTACTAAAGGAAAAGATCGTTTGCATAAAAAGAATATCTAAAACAATAGAACAACAAAGTGAAGACGTACCTCGCTTAGCTTCTCTAACGTAGCCAAAGCATTGGCTTCTTGTTTAGGTTTACCAAAAAGCCTGTTAAACATTGTTGACGCTAAGAAACAAGAATCCTCTCTCGATCTTCTGCAACAAAGGACAAAATCAGAACCAAACGCTTAGTTCCAAATGCTTAGTTTCAAACAGCCGATCAACTTCGATGAAAACAAAAACAATCAATTCCTACCAAAAGTCGATAAACCAGAGAGATTGAGACGGAAATATGAGAAGCAGAAATGAACCGAAAGAATTTGTGAAGAACTTTGAAGTAGAAAGGCTTCCTCAATCGCTCCAGAATCCGGAGGACGAAGATTTAGAGTTCCTGCTCTCTTCACGTCGCTGTTTCGTCTCCACGCGGCAATCTACTTGCTGGTTTCCGTAGATCAAATCAAAAACTACCAATTTTCACTCCGCCAATTCTATTTATAGGGGGATATGGGCCGGGTCGATTGGAACAATGATGGGCCGAATATCTTATCATTGAATCGGCCCAAATTCATACTTGGGCTGCTGGACATGTATATGGGCCAAACCAGATAAAGTACAGAAAGCCCAATCACCACAGGTGTTCCCAGCGAATTAATTCAAATGTCAAAAATACCCTTACATCACGTAAATAATGACAAACTCTTTCAAATTGATCTAACACCATTATTAAAAATAAAATAAAAAATTTAAATCTAAAGATATCGAATCTCAAAATGATAAGGAATCATCCTAAGAAAAAGTAAGATTCGAATTACATTGTTGATCAAATATCTCAATATAAGAACTCTAGTTTAAAATTCAAATCACTCCACAGGTAAGATCGATCAAGTTTGAATAATTCTAAACATCCAACTTAAATTAGTTTTATATAGCCTCAAAATAAAACTTTTGATGGGATATTTCAACAACTGTATTATTCATATTTGATAATCATAATGAGTATAAATAAATTATTAAAGTAGATAAAAATCTTTTTAACATATATTAATAAAACACCGTAACTCTGAATTATGATTTATCAAAAAATAAATGAAACTTGATTATTTTTTAACGTGTTAAGAATTAGCTCGAAATAAGCTTATAAGTCATTTATGGCTGCTCGGAGACAGGCTTCGAAACCAGACATTTTTAGTTAGAATAATGAATTTGGTGTCACTATTCTTTCCTCAATCATGAATTTGGTCCTGTAGATAAATTATTGCAAAACGTGGGGGACAAATATTCAATATTTATTATCCCAATCTTTAAAAAGTAACATTTTCAATCCGACATTATCCATATTAAAGTACTCCTTTTGCACGATAACCTATTTTATATACTTTTAGTTTTATATTCAATTTCAATCCATCACTTCTAATAAATCGACATTAATGCTTTCTTCACAAATACTCACCATCGTAATTATTATTATTATTATTATTATTTGATTAAAATAAATAAATTTTAAATTATCATTAAAATAATGATATTAATATTTCATAGCATTATTCATTCCTAATTGCTTATAATTAAGTTTAAAATAATATCTTCCACATCAGCATGTTCCTTAGATTCTTATCCTAAATTTATAATACTGTATTATTACAAATTGATTAAAAAAAACAATATTAAAATTTAAAAATTAAATTCTTTTGGGTTTTGAAAAAGTCATACCATATCATAGAAGAATCTAAGTGGTCGCCTAGTTGTCCTATTTATGTACTATGAGAGTTATTGAATTATACACATAAATTTTTAAATTCTATTTAAGTGTTACAATTAATTTCTGAAATTATTATTTAATTTGATCAATAACATATAGTTTATTAAGGTGTTACACATTATTGTTATTAAAATTTTATATCAATAAATAGTATTTTTATTTTATTTTTTAATCAATAATTAAATTATACATGATATATTTAAAAAAAAAAAGAGATAAGAATTAGAAAATAAGAAAATAAATAAGTAACTAAATTAGGGATTTTGACAGATTTAAGAAACTCGTGGAAAAGACATCATATTTGGAAAAAGCAAACAGTTTGATATGTCTTAAAGTGATGAAATTATTGGTGATTAAATTATTAGTCACTAAACACTCCAACCGAACGTGGTTTATTTATGGCACGTGCGACATGAAATGTGAGGCCAAATTTATTTGGCGCAGATATGAAGGACGAAAAAAGGAGAAGATAAAAGGGCAGAAGCAAGAGAAGAAATATGAGAAAATAAAACACCCAAATTTGAGGCTAAACCCGAAGCCACGAAGCCACCCGAACTTCAGTTAGGAGCCGAATTCGGCGGCGGAGACAGCACACCGAAGGATTCCCGACAATGAACAGGTGGTTCATTGAGCCTTTCAGGAAGTTTGCGGCGGCCGGCGGACGGCGGTGCTTGGTCAAGGACGCTCATTGCGACTTCACTCATGGCGTTTCCGATGAGTTTAAGACGCCGAGAGCCGTTCCGAGGACGCCCAATGTTTCTGCATTTATGGCCATGCTCGGCCTCCCTCCCATGCGTCTCAGCCCCCTCTTGCCTTCCTCAGGTTCCCTACTTCTACCCTCTTTTTTAGTCCCGTTTTTTTTATTTTTTTTAAAGGATAAAACGGTAATTTACCATCAACTAACTCTACTTCGAGTGAAATTCAACTTTAAAGAGCTACTACTCTTTTATATACGGGTAATCTTCTTTTTATTGACTATGACGTAAAAATAAATTCTATTTTGATGTAGATGTGAATTAGGTAGACTTTTTTTTTCATGGATATTAAAATTTAGAAACTTATATTAAAAACGATAAAAGTATTTATTTCTACTTATCAAATTTTTACTATTGATAATTGAATTAAAAATAATATGTAGCTTTTAAATCACTTTTATAAAGTAATATCCATTAATAAAAATCTTAAAGCTAAAAGAGAAATATATATATATATATTTATAAATTTTTATTTGAATTAGTTCATATATATAATTAGATTAAAAAAACAAATTTTATTTATTTTAAAGGGAATGTTTATTTAATTTACCTAAGCTAAAATTGTAGATTCTTTTTATTAATAATTAGATACATAAGAATAAAAAATAAAAACAAAAATAAAAAAACAAGAGAGACGACAAAATTAGAAAAGCTGTTAAAAGCACAATTATGAGTGGAGCCAAAATTAAAAAGTGATTTTATATAAAGGTTTATTATTATATTCTCAAATAAAAATAAAAACATTTGACCCATTGACGCGACTCCTCAAACAGAGCCCCAGCCTAGTGGACGCTTTGTATTACAAAAAATAAACCATCCACGTTTTGCCACGTCATCTTCCAAATTTGACACCGTGTAAATGTATATTTCATATATAAAATCTTTTAAAAAGCTCCAAACGAAAGGGACATGTCCTTGGGTCATGGATTTCAAATTTAAAGCCTAAATTTATTTACCTTTAATTTAATTTCGAGCTGTACAGTTGAATATATTGTGTGGCTTAAATAATTTTGCTTCTGGTTTTATTTTATTTACGGTTTAAAATGTTTTTTCCTTTGTATTTTGAATTTTTTCTTCTTAAAAACCTTAAATAAATAATAATAATAAAAGAATATTATTCTACTCAACCAAATAAAACGTCGTTTTCCGCCGCTTTTAAGTCTTATTCGTATTTTTAAATATTTTAAATTTGCTAAATTAAGAAATAGTGTTTATTATAATAAAAAGTAATAATAAATTTATTTATTTTTGTTTCCAGTAGAGAATTCGGAGGGATTCCAATTCTCCGGCAAGGAGTCGTCTCCGCCATTAAATGAAGGCGAAGTTTCTCAGTTCCAAACTCACCATAGAAAGAAGGAAAAATCTCAGCGATCTGTGGATTCGACTTTCCTTCATTTTCCGTCGCTTTCTCGGCATTTTCCTTCGAATTTCCGATCGGCGATCCTCAACGCGCAGCGGCAATACGGTACGATTTCGATCTCTCTGTTGAGTTTTGCTGAATCTTTTCATCGTTTTCGAATCGTAGCGATTCCGATATGTTCTTCGATGCGTTCGTTCTTGAGGTCTCTCTGCGATTTTACTCTGTTTAATAAATTTTTTTGAAAATGTTTATTCAAAAGAAACAGAGCAATACTTATCGAATCTCGTTCGATTTTATAATTCTTTTAACTATTGAAATGAGATTGAACTTTGTTGTGATTAATTCTACAGCAACGTGTGCTGAGGTCCAGAAGCCTTCTCAGGAATCGGAATCGGAATTGGACGGTGAATTTGAAAATGAAGAAGCTGCGCCAAACGACGCCGTTTTCTTCGCCCCCAAAATCAACTCCTTTGGCCATTCATTCAGGTCATTTTGTGATCTCCTTTCTCAATTTTCTTTGTTTATTAGTTTTATTTATTTATTTTTATATTTGCAATGACTGCAAGTTGATGATCTCAAAACAAAAAAAGAAAATCATTTTTTCCTATATTTTATATATAAATTTATGAACTTATTAGTATTAAATTTAAAATTTAACCAAATATTTTAATAAAAAGTAATTTTTTGAAAAAAATTTATCGATAAGGAAAAATTGTATCCAATTATTTTTTTAATAAAAACATTATGTTAATTTTTTTTCTATTTTGTGAATATATTTTGCAGGGATTATGACGTAGAAAGCGCAAGGCAAAAGACGGTTGAAGAACTCTACCGCTTGAACCACATCAACCAAACATATGATTTTGTAAGTTCAATTACATTTCTACTTAATTTTTTTAATCTAAAAAAATTAAAAAAAATAAGTTAAATTACCAATTAGAAATTAAAAAATTATTAAATTATTGATATTACTAAAAATCCCTTGGATCGGATCTTAAATTGTATTGTTTGCGTCTACTCTAGTCACAAAAAACGATAACCGAATATTGTGTATGATGTGAAATTAGGGTTTTAAAGGTAAAAAAAATGAAAAAAAAAACAAGATAAAGTCGTTTCAAACGAGTCCTAAACTATGTTGTTCGAGTCGGAGATGGAATTAGGGTTTTAAAAAGGATGGTTTTGGTGGAAAAACAGGTAAAGAGAATGAGAGAAGAGTATGGGAAGTTGGACAAAACAGAAATGAGCATATGGGAATGCTGTGAGCTGCTGAATGAAGTGGTGGATGAGAGCGATCCAGATTTGGATGAGCCTCAGATTCAGCACTTACTCCAATCTGCTGAAGCCATTCGAAAAGACTATCCCAACGAAGATTGGCTCCACTTGACTGCCCTTATCCACGGTCATATTTCCTTCCTTACTATTATATATATAATATATTTATTTATTTATTTATTTATTTCTATAAAAATTAAAATAATAATAATAATAATAATAATAATAATACCGTTGGGGTCTCAGATCTTGGAAAGGTTCTCCTTCTTCCTATCTTTGGAGGGCTTCCTCAATGGGCTGTTGTTGGTATGTTCTTTTTTTCTCTATCCTACTTTTTAATATCAATTAATTAATTATTAATTAATCAATTAATCAAATATTTGGTAGGTGATACATATCCTCTTGGCTGTGCCTTTGATAAGTCAATTGTTCATCACAAGGTAACAAAACTGTTACCCTTTTCATTTTATTTTTAATTTTAAGTATTAAAAATAAAAACAAAATAATTATGGGTAAAATTCTAATATTTCTTTATTATGGGATGTATATTATGCAGTACTTCAAACACAATATAGACCATGATAATCCAGCTTACAACACAAAATATGGAATCTATTCTCATGGATGTGGACTCGACAATGTGGTGATCTCTTGGGGGCACGACGATTATATGTACATGGTATATATTACTTTATAACATATTAAATTAACCCTTTTTAGAATATAGTTTTTATTTAACCTTAATTCAATAATACGTAGGTTGCTAAAGAAAATGGAACAACTCTACCTTCAGCCGGATTATTTATCATCAGATATCACTCATTTTATCGTAAGTTTATTTAATTTTTGGTATATAGTATGATGTAAATTAATTATATAAATAAATTTGAGGAGTGATTAATAATTATATTTCTTTTGTAGCAATGCATCGGGAAGGAGCATATCGACACTTGATGAACAAGGAGGATCTTGAGAATTTGAAGTGGCTTTCAGTTTTCAAGTAATTTTAATTTTTTTTTTTTTTTTTTATAATTTTTACTTTTTTATTTGAAAATTTATTTAATATTTAAAATCATTTCCAGCAATTACGACCTTTACAGCAAGAGCAAAGTTCTTGTTGACGTGGAAAAGGTCAAACCCTACTACCAATCCCTCATTCGAAAGGTTAGAACTCAACACGGATTTATTTATCTATTATTATTTATAGTCATTTATTAAAAGGGTAGTTTTTGCTTCGTGCAGTATTTTCCCTCCAAGCTTAAATGGTGATGATCATGATCATGACGAAGATGAAGATCAAGCATTCATGAAATGAAATCCATGGTGGGTTCATGAACCCAAGCTTGGTATCGGACGTGTAGGATAAGTATTACTGTCGTATTTATAGTTTGTAGTTTGTGAGCGAATTATATTACTTTGCGCGTGTGTAAAATTTTCATCTAAACTTTATTGTATTGTGTAATAAGATTAATATAATGCAAATATGTTTGAATGAGAAATGGGTTTATGTCGCAACACATGACGCTACTGGTGGATCGTATATTCCCACAGATGTCTCTAATACTGCTTCGATCTTCATAGAGTGGTTGCTACCAACTCAGTCACGTTTTTATTTATCTTATTAACCGAGGAAGATAAAAAAGAAAAGAAAATAAAAACAAATTAAAAAATTTATATTAATTTTTTTGGAGCTAAAAGTGATAGGAGTGTAAATGTATTTAATTAATTAATGGCGATTTTTCTATTAATTTTAAATGGATAAATTAACATTTCTTTTGCAGGCCGAACAATGGCCCATTGGGCTATTTTTAAACGAGCCTTTCACTATTAAGCCCACAAACATTGGGGGTTAGGGCTATAAATATGAACACGTGTGATACACGCGCTCTGCTTTTTCCTCGTGTTCCTCACTTTTTTCGGTCATTGCTCTATCATGTCTCTCATTTCACTTCAAAATTTATTGCGCTAACTCCCTCAACTCTCTCGAATTTCGATTTCCACCCCGTTATACTTTCAACTTCCCACTCAATGCCCACTCCTTTTAGCACATTTTTCACACAATTTTCACTAATTAAAGTAGAGCCAACCCTACCGGTCCAAGCTAAGCTAGCCGGGCTTGAAGGGAAACGACGCGTAACAATCACATGTCTTAAACTTGTGCATGTAGGTAGAGGTACTTTTTTAAACTCGTCTCAAAATGGGAGCTTTATTTGCCACCTCCCGAGTGGGATTGACATTGTTGTTGATTTCATCGGCTTGTAAATGAGCTCTAGACCCTCGTTGAATGTGAGCGTTGAAAATTATGACACAGTAGTACATTCATTTGTCTCATTATATGAACCAATTTTGTAGCGTAACTTTCAAAAGAACCACTTTTTTATTATGATTTTTTTCGAGTTCAATTAAAAAATCGTGCTACCAATTGTTAGCACCAAAGTCAAAGATGAAAGACAGAGCAAGTAATGAAATATCATTATTTAAGATAAAGATGACTTAAAAAAAGATAATTTTTTGTATTTATTAAATTTGGCCTAATTGATACGTAATATCATGATGTAATTTAATTATAGCCAAATTAGATTATAATTATGGTGGCATAGTTGTAATTTTTGGAAAAATAAATTACAAATTTAAGAATTGATGGTCATTTATATTGATAATTGTCACTTTAATTATAAATTAATTATGTTATAATTAATAGTTTTCATATAATTAAAAATGATATCCTCAATAATATACAAGAAAATTACGGTAGGTTTAAAATTTTGTAGATTTATTAGACACCTCTTAAAGTGCAAGGATCAAAAAATAAAAAACGAGGTCGGCAGGAAAAGGGGACGAGAATTCCGATGACTCGCCGGAATTCTCGCAACCTCACCCTACACGTTTCCCTCGACGCCAAGTATACGTCAACGACCTTCAGTCGTGCCTCACAGAATCCACATGCAAAGAAAACTAACATGATACAGAGGAAAAATGGAGGGAGAAGAAGAAAAGACTGTTGAGTTACTTCATGACGAGACGCCGACAATCATCCTTGTTGAGACGCATTGTGTCGTATAGTGTAGATAATACCGTAGAAGAGAGGACTAACAAGGCAGGGTACACCACAATGCACACGAGTGATTACTGCCGAACGGTCGGTCAAGAGGATGAATTGTCAATTAGTTCTCCACTCTTTGTGTCCAGGTTCGAACCGTAGTGGGTACCGATGGAAATTATTAAATTATATTTAATGTGTTTTGTATTAAAAAATAAAATAAATTTTAATGGTCACAAATTAGTTGGAGCCTTCCCATTTTTGTCGGGTAAGAGTAATAAACAAATAAAAGTTGGCTGCGAAAGAAGCTGACGAGTCGGGCAGAAAAGAACTGTCGTCCAATTATCATTTAACACGTGGACGCCAAATTATTGAAAACGACTCAATATAGAAATATCATATTTTCGGATGAAAATTACATTGGAAAAAAGGAAGAAATGAATAAGATGACGGATGTATTATTTAATACGTAACTTCCTCTGCGTTTTGGTAGCTAGAATTCGAAGCGATCTTATTAAAGTGTTCATCGAGAGGATCTGTGGATTAGCGATGGAATCTCCATTACTGCGCCGCCGTGAATTGGTGAACAAGAGGCGTTGCAGAGGAGTGATTTTAGTTCCGCTTGGATTACTTGCCATCGCAGGTAGTTCAGCTAATCTTCACCTTCGTTTATTTTTTCCTGTTGTATTGAATGTTTTCCTTTTAGATTTTGGATTCATCGTAAATCAAGGGCTAGAAAAGTTTCATCTGTGGGTAATTGTTCGGCCTTATCGAGGAGATTTCGGAGTTCTTTTGTTTTACGACGATTTTGACTTTGTTTTAGTTCTTCGTTTGTCTTGAATGATTTCGGAGTTCTTTTGTTTTACGATTGTTTTGTTGATGTCAAGTTCTACTTCAGATTGAACTGTTGCATTTGCGACTGATTCGAACTCGTTTGTTTTACGACTGATTCGAACTATTGCATTAGCGATTGTTTTGTTGATGTCAAATTCTACTTCTTCGTTTGTTTTACGATTACCTGAACATTTGCGACTGATTCGAACTCGTTTGAGTCTGTTTATGTAGTTGTTGGCTATATCCTTGGGGGTTCCATTAATGGTTTAGTATTTAATGAGGAAAGCAAGCACTCTGGTGGAATAGATATCAGTAATCCCGAAATTGTTGAGTCAGAGAAGGGAGTTGTTGCTGCTGATGACGGCCGCTGCTCCGAAATTGGAGCGTCGATGCTTAGGCAGGGAGGGCATGCCGTTGATGCTGCAGTCGCGACTGCATTGTGCCTTGGTGTGGTGGGTTCGATGTGGAGCGGGATAGGCGGTGGAGGTTTTATGCTTGTCCGATCCGCATCGACTTTGCAAACCACAGCTATTGATTTCCGGGAGACTGCACCCTTGGCTGCATCTCAGGTTCAAAATCTCTCCCTCTTTTGGTAGAACAGATGGTTGTCTTTTAGCCTGCAACTCTCGAAAGTACACCGTAAAAAGATGGGTTAGAAACTACGACTCTCCACAATAGTATGATATTATCAACTTTGAGCATAAACTCTAGTGACTTTACTTTTGGTTTCTGCGAAAGGCCTCATTCCATTCTTACTCATAAACCCAGGATCATTCTCTTACTTAGCCAACGTAGGATTCTCTCCCAACAATACTCCACTCGAACAAAGTAAAAAGAGCCTCTCTTGAGGCCTATGGATCCCTTGAACAACCTCCCCTTAATTGAGAGTCGACTCCTCTGGAGCCCTTGAACAAAATACACCATTTGTTCGACACTTGAGTCACTTTTGACTACACTTTCGAGGCTTGTAACTTCTTTGTTCGACATTTGAGGATTCTATTAACATGGCTAAGTTAAGGGCATGACTCTTATACCATGTTAGGAACCACGATTCTCCACAATGGTATGGTATTGTCCACTTTGAGTATAAGCACTTACGGCTTTGGTTTTGGTTTCCCCAAAAGGCCTCATACCAATGGAGATAGATTCTTTATATAAACTTATGACCATTCCCTTCATTAGCCGATCCCTTCCAACAATCCTGGAAAACCTTCCAACAATCCTGGAAAAAGGAGAGGGAAAAGTTGTAAGCTGTTTCATTTTGGCAATGTGCAGGAAATGTATGAAACCAATGTGACTGCCAAAAGTTTAGGGCCACTATCAATTGCAGTTCCTGGAGAGATAGCTGGCCTTCATGAAGCTTGGTTGAGATATGGCCGTTTGGCGTGGCGGTCCTTATTTGAGCCTGCTATAAAGCTTGCCAAGGATGGGTTTGTGATATCTCCTTATGTTGGACAGTCCTTAGTTTCCTCTACCGACATGATCCTAAACGATCCTGGGTTGAGACGAGTTTACGCACCAAATGGTAAAATAGTACAAGCAGGCGACACTTGCTACAACGTTGAGCTAGGCAAGAGTTTAGAGGCTGTGGCAGATCAAGGGCCGCAAGCCTTCTATAACGGTGCTGTCGGAGAGAAGTTGGTGAAGGATGTGAGGGAAGCTGGTGGGATTTTATCCATGGAGGATTTGAGGAACTACACAGTTGAAGTAACAGAGGCAATGACTACCGAGGCAATGGGCTACACAGTGCATGGCATGCCACCTCCTTCAAGTGGAACACTTGGCTTTGCTATGGTCTTGTCCTCTCTTTACCTCCTACTTAAACTTTTGTGAAACCCCTTTTGATTCCAGACTCTATTCTTGAATGAACAGGTAATGAACATCTTTAAAAGCTACAATGATCCTGATGCCACCAAGGGAAATCTTGGCCTACATCGCCTAATCGAAGCATTGAAGCACATGTATGCCGAACGAATGAACTTGGGCGATCCTCGGTTTTCGAACATTAGCAACTCTGTCTCCAACATGCTCAGTCCATCATTTGCTAAGAAAATTCAGGAAAAGATAATCGACAACGCTACTTTTCCTCCGGATTACTATCAATACAGGTATCGGCCAAATGAAAAAAACACGCTCAGCCCGTTTTTCTCTTCGAACTCTTGTCGGAATTCGAACAAGGTTATTGATGTCTTAAATGTTTAGATTTGCTCTAAGTTTGCTAATTTTAACTTGTTCTTTACAATTACTAGGTGGAGTCAGCTAAGAGATAGTGGAACCAGTCACTTTTGCATTGTGGATGCAGAGAGAAACGCTGTTTCATTGACAACAACCGTAAATGCGCACTTTGGGGCTGGCCTTCTCTCACCTTCTACTGGTATTGTTCTTAATAATGAAATGGGAGACTTTTCTGTACCCACAGATATCTCTCCAGATAAACTCCCCCCAGCGCCTGCAAATTTCATCCAGCCAAACAAGAGGCCCCTCTCTTCCATGATACCTCTTATTGTCACAAAGGTGCAACTCTTATTTACTCATTTGGTTGGTTTGGATCTTCTGATATTCATGACTTTGCTCTAATATCATAATCGAAAGCTTATTTATGAGATCACACGTCGGTTAGGGAGGAGAACGAAACATTGTTTATAATGGTGTGGAAACCTCTCTCTAGCAAACACTTTTTAAAATTTTGAAAGGAACCCCGAAAGGGAAGATCTAAAGAAGACAATATTTTATAGTGGTGAGCTTGGGCTATTACAAATGGTATCAGAGCCAGACATCGAACGATGTGCCAGTGAAGAGGCTGAGCCGTGAATGGGGTGGATTTGGAGAGTCTCACGTTGATTGGAGAAGAGAATGAGTGTCACCGAGAACACTGAGCCCCAAAGGGGTGGATTATGAGATCCACATTGGTTGGAGAGGAGAACGAAACACTCTTTATTAGGGTGTGGAAACCTTTCCCTAGCGGTAGGCTTGGGCCGTTACTTTATATGATCCTCGGAAATGTTGTTTGATCCTTCATAGGATGATCGGTTGATTGCGGTACTCGGCGGTAGCGGAGGAATGAAGATAATTCCGGCAGTAATTCAGGTTTTCCTCAACTATTTCTCCCTGGGATTCCAACCTTTCCCAGCTGTTGAAAGGTCAAGGGTGTATCATCAGGTTTGTTTGTTTGTTTGTTTGTTACTCAATTTCCAGACACAATTTCTTGCCACAAACAGTTGACATTATAATGTAGCCTTGTTGTGTCTCTGCAGCTAATTCCAAATATAGTAAAATACGAAAACTTGACGTTCATCGATGGCGATCACGTCGAACTTTCAGACGAAAAGACAGCATTCTTGGAAGAGAGGGGTCATAAAGTGGTAGCTATTGATGCACCAGGAGCCATTGTTCAGTTCATAGTTCAAAACTTTGAAGACGCCATTGACAAAGGTCGAAAGGGCAGAAAGATATCCAATGATCAAACACATTTTGGTGTTCTTACGGCTGTGTGCGACCCCAGAAAAAACGGGAACCCCGCAATCGCCTAGGAAATGTTGCCCCCTCCCCCCTCACCCCTCCTTTTGTACATTGTTCTTAGATTGGACATGGCTCTCTCTCGTTGGCTGAATGATCAGTTTCCTTGTGTTTCAAGAGGGCCATCCATAGGCCATTGGGACTCAAAAGACAGTTTAAATATTTTCTACACGAAATGTAAGCTAATATGCCAATTACACAAAATTCAATTTGGTAATTTTTACAAATGTTTCAAGTCCGAAAAGCGGACATCGAACCACCGCTAAGTTATCAAAAACACGTCTAAAGAGAAAGTGGATGCCCTATAAAATTACCGCCCTACCCATTAATGGACTATGAGGAGACAAACAAACGGAGACTTACCGAGAACTCGAACCCTGACCCAGAGCAAAAATTGAAACTCCGAACGTAATTCCAAGTAACTGCCACACTAAATTTAAATTTGTATCAAAATTTTAAAGGATTTATGGTATAATTTTTTTTATTCGACTCCAAATTTGGAATAAGAGACACGTGGCAAGTTTCTGATCTCGACACGTGTCTACATATCGCATCGTATATTAGACCTTTATTACTCTGAGAATTCCCAAACTTCAGGCATAAAGGCTATTTGACGCTCAATTGGCAAAGCGCTTTGTGGAGAACATTGTTCGATCGTTATGTACAGAGCTGCAGCTTCGCGAATCAGGCCTCTGAAGGTTAGTAAACTTGGTCCGCCCTCGATAACGCCCTGTTGACCTCTTTGATTTTGATCTCTTATTCACATTTTGTTCACGCGCACATCTGATTATTTTCGATGATTTGGCTTTTAGATTTTGAATTTCTTTAGATATGGATTGGAATTCGTTGCTCTGGAAGTTTTTCAGCCTTCTCGAACTCAACGTTGTAATTTATTGTTTGTTTCGTTAAATTGTTATTGGAAAGACACCGAATAGGAGCTGGACGTGAGTGTTTATAATCTCAATGGTGAGAAATGATTGCGTCGAAGTGATGTGATTAGCATATTGAGCTGCTAGGTTATTGATTTAATTGTTGCGACCTTTTACAGTCTGAGCATCTATTTGTATTTATTTAGGTCCGGTAAAATTATTTAGCTTTTGAAAATTCAGCTTATAATCTCTACCTTCTGTTATCCACAGTTTTTTTTTTAAAAAAAAAATTAAGAGTTTTTAAAAAAAAAATTAAGGAAAGTTTTGAAGGTAAACATAATAGTATTTAAGAACTTAGTTTAAATAAAACACAAAACTGTTATCGAATGGGTTTAGTTTTAGTTGGCTTATTCTGTATGGCCAGTTGGTTAATGCTTTGATGGATAATGATGATCATGTTTCTGTCGAACCATTACTCAGGGGCAAGCAAACAATGGACTATATAGATTTGCAAGCTCTAGTGCCGTTGCCTCAAAGCATAAATCTTCTGGGGGTCTCTTTGGCTGGTTGCTTGGAGACCGTTCTACACTACCTCCCTTAGACTTTCCCCTATCCGATGTGAACCTTCCGCCTCCATTGCCGGATTATGTTGAACCTGGTAAGACCAAGATCACAACTCTGCCAAATGGTGTAAAAGTGGCATCAGAAACATCATCGGTAAGATGGGAACCATATGAATTTATATACTTGTTCTTTGTATTTGGCCTGCTCGTGTTCCTTTCAGTCGGGGAAAATTAATCTGTTTTTTTGTTCAATGTAGAATCCTGCCGCTTCAATAGGTCTATATGTTGATTGTGGTTCAATTTATGAGACTCCAGAAAGTTTTGGTTCTACACATCTGCTGGAGCGTATGGCGTTTAAAAGCACAAGAAATCGAAGTCACTTGCGTGTTGTGCGAGAGGTAGAGGCAATTGGTGGCAATGTGCTTGCCTCAGCTGCTAGAGAGCAGATGGGCTACACCTTCAATGCTTTGAAGTCATATGTCCCTGAAATGGTGGAGCTGCTTATTGACTGTGTTAGGAATCCTGTTTTTCTTGACTGGGAGGTCAAAGAGCAGGTCTCTCTGGGCTTCTTGAATATCATTAATACCTAACTCCACAAATTTTGTAACTGCTGACTCACTGAGAGATCAAAGTTTATGTTCAACAGATTTCAAGGGTGAAAGATGAGATTATTGAAGCTTCCAACAACCCCCATGGGTTACTCGTGGAATCTATCCATGCTGCTGGTTACTCTGGTGCCTTGGCAAATTCTCTTTTAGCTACGGAGTCTGCTATAAATAGTTTGAGTGGTCCAATTTTGGAGAAATTTGTTTCTGTAAGTTGAATGGGAGCTTATAATATCATATTTATTCTTATAATTAACTATTTAACGATGTTATTTATTTACCGGTCATCTTCTTCCTTCAGGAAAATTATACTGCATCTCGCATAGTACTGGCAGCATCTGGTGTTGAACATGAAGAACTCTTATCCATTGCTGAACCACTTCTATCTGACCTTCCAAGTGTTCCTCATGAGGAGCCAAAATCAGTGTACAATGGGGGTGATTATCGTCATCAAGGTGATTCTGGGGTGTGTATCATCAATATTGTATACTTTACATCCAGTCTTCATTTCCAGGCATCATTTGTTAATTGTTCCCTCTCTTTCAGGACGGGAGGACACATTTTGCTCTTGCATTTGAACTCCCCGGTGGCTGGCATAAGGAGAAGGATGCTATGGCCTTAACTATTCTTCAGGTCCTAACAATGAATATCTATTGTGGTTAAGTGATTTTTACGACACTTTGGTTTAGATCATGCACATGCACATGCACCCATTATTTATTTAGTCCATTTTTAACTTTATCACTGTGAATATATCTCATCTCTTAGATGTTACTGGGAGGCGGAGGGTCCTTCTCAGCTGGTGGACCTGGAAAGGGGATGTACTCTCGGCTGTGTAAGCCTTAAATTTCTTTTACTTTGATGGCCATGTATCTGAGTTTCTTTTTTGTTTGTTTGATTGTTTATCCTTTTTTTTTCTTGGATGGGGGTGGGGGGATTGAAGGGAGGAGATCCATGTCTTAATTTACCCGTACAATCCAATCCAATCCAATCCAATCCAATTCAACCTTAGTTTACCTGTGTTGTATGTTTTTTAGTGTTAACTTCTTCGTATTTGTTAATCTGTGAACAGATCTCCAGGTCTTAAATGAGTATCCACAGGTCCAATCGATTTCAGCATTCAGCAGTATTTACAACAATAGTGGCATATTTGGAATCCAAGCAACTACCGTAATGATTCTCTTTAGATTCTTTCGTCGTTGTTATTGACCAAAAAATATATAACTTAGCATAATACAAAACCTCTATGTTGAACTTGGTGATAGAATACTTATTTCTCCCTTTATAAACATCCACCTTTTTTGTAGGGTTCTAATTTCGTGCCAAAAGCCTTTGATATTGCAGCTAGCGAACTGTTAGCCATTGCAACGCCTGGAAAAGGTCCGTTGTCATGCTTTCTCTTTTCTGGCATTTCTAGAACCACTATATCTAACTTGATCACTGATAACATTCCCTTGTTTACAGTTGAACAGGTGCAGCTAGACCGTGCCAAACAGTCGACAAAGTCAACTGTGCTAATGAATTTAGAATCCAGGGTTTGTATTATTATATTTTACTTCTTGTTTGTTGCCTTACCATACCTGGATCTTAGTTTTTTTTTTAAAAAAAAACATGTTTTTGAAAATGCCTCCACTTATTGTGGGCGTTGGGTTGTATTTTGTAGGTGGTGGCTTCGGAGGATATAGGCAGACAAGTTTTGACATATGGTGAAAGGTATGGTCTGAGTCATTTATTCTACTCTTTCTATTTGAAAGATTTAAGATTTATGAGGATGTGGTTATGCTGTTATTGCTTATTACTCAATGAACACTCTGTTCCATGGTCACTTGTTCACATTATCCAAACGATATGTACCATGCCACTTTTCTTACACTATGTTATTTCTTAAGAGCTTTGTAATTACAAGTTAAAAATATAGCGTGAAGTCATTTTTTATTTTTGAGCTGAGCTTTGTAATTACAACAGTGATCTGTCTTTAAGGCCACACATGTCTTAAATATATAATGTATCCCACATTATTCAGGAAACCTGTGGAACATTTCTTGAAAGCTGTAGACGAAGTAACTCTGGAGGATATAGCTTCAATTGCACAAAAACTTCTCTCTTCTCCATTGACAATGGCCTCATATGGCGACGGTACTTATCATGCTCAAACAGAACCTCATGATATCTATTTATCTTGCTTCCTACAGAAAAAAAAAAAAAAAAAAAAAAAAAAAAAAAAAAAAAAAAAAAAAAAAAAAAAAAAAAAAAAAAAAAAAAAAAAAAAAAAAAGAGAGCTGTTTTTATTCGCTTTCTCTATATAATTATTTCTTTATATATTATTCTGCAGTTATTCTTGTTCCAAGCTATGATTCTGTCAGCAGCAAGTTTAAGTCAAAGTGACCAATCGTTTTTGGTGATTCAAATTAGTCGGCATGGAACAAAGAAATTGCTATCTTCAAAGCCTTGTTGTGTATGGTCACTATCTTTTGAAAATAAGAAAAAGCATTGAGGTCCTGTTTATCTCAATAATTGGTAAATTTGGGCAAACCCCTTTTTGTCAAGACCCGATCTCTATTGATGGTAATGTTTTATTCCTTCTATCATAACAGTGAAGCATTTTTCAGTTAACAGTTCCATCTTGAAGAAAGTTCATGTTCTGAAAGCAATTTCAGGATGTTTGTACTTTGGAACATTGTAATTTGCAAGGCCTCAAGAGCAACAATCTGAGTTGATTTTTGTAATCTTTAATAATAAAGTGCTGCTTGCTACACATGCTTGAGATTTGAGTTTAGTGCAGTGTTTATATGTTATTTAGAGCTCTTCTTCTGTTCCTTTCTTTTCTTTTCTTTTCTTTTTAATCTTTCAGTTACTCAGATCTCTACTAAGGGGTTGGTTGGATGCATTCGAGGAAATATTCTCCTAAAGGTACTGTACTATTTGCTTTAAAAAATGTACATTTCTTCTGGAAAGAGGCTCCAAGATCTTATATTCAAGATAACTGATATAATTCATGCATACTTGAAGGCTTCTTCTTATCATTATTTTTTATGTTCCTTGTTTTTTTTTTTTTTTTTGCCTATTTAGACATCAATAGAGAATGTTTACGGGGCGGGAGAAGCCGTATCCATATCCTATTTCAATCTAATTCCCGCAAAATTTTTGTAGTGATTGAGACTATATTT